TCCCTTTAGATCCAGGAATGACGTGGCTGGGGCAGTGGCAACCAAAACAGAACAGATAGTTTGGTCTTTTGATATTTCACAATAATCCCAAAGAACTTAAAGTGGCTGTTAAACAATCAGTGGGAATGACATTTTATTCTATCTGCTAATGTTTCATTGCCGCAGCTGAGCTCAGATCTGAGATGTTTGTTTCAATGTAGATTACATTTGGAAAAAAGGGTAGAACACAGAACAGCCACACAGAATCTGTCCAAAATAACAAGCTTTCAGGACCCTGAGCGTAAACTAGACCAGCTGACCATCTGTTGCCTCCACTTCCATCCTCCAGTTCTTTGTAAGCCTCTCAACTCAGGGTGCATTGTCTAGCATAAACATATGGCAGGGTCCAAGCACCTTATTAGTGTACATTACCACCGGACAAATCGCATTAACTTCCAAGAAGGTGCCATGGCCATACATTCTGAACCAGAGGGGGTACAAATACATGTGTTAATGACAATTAAGCAATCTGTATTCTGACTGCTGCAGCTGCTCTGAGTGTGCACACTGCTGCGAGGGCATTGCAGGGGGCTGATCTGAAGGAAACAGCAGCAGCCACCTCCTGGGAAAGGCTGCGAATTGCCCTCAGGTGCTCAGTCTAAGCGCATGTTTGAGCGTCTCTGCTGGTACATCAGATAATCTCTTCCTTCAATGTATGACTGACTGCTCACAGTGTCCAAACAACCAGGTTTAATAAACCGAGAAGTCCAGGATTGGTTGACTTAAGAAAGATGGATGATTGTGTAAATTTATGAGACAGCCCATCTGTGGCCTGAAGCTTAAGGCTAAATGGTTAATTACACTTTATGGACTGCAGCTAGACTGTGCTCTTAAGGGACAGCGTAAATAAAACACATCATTACTCAGGGGGAGAGAACTAGCTGCCATCGAGGTAAAATTGGCATTTTTCTGCCTCTGAGAACCTGTTGCTTTGCGACAAAGCTTCTTTTAATGCGCCCCCGTCCAATAGCCATGAATCGCCTCGGTGGAGCTGAGTGCAGGGTGTGAGCTGTCCCACTGCACAGTTTGCCAAACATAACAGAGTAAACAGAGGTTTTCTCACAGTTAACAAGCAACAGAGTGAAAGGGATATCGCAACAGAACACTCAACGGTGTTACCGGTGTAACGTGGAAAGAGTCTTTCTAATATGGCAAGCTCGGAGGCATCCGTCAAATTAAACCTAAAATGTTATATGGTGTGTAAGTTATTTATGGAGTGCGGCGTCTGAATGCGTTTGCATAATTTCTTTCCCATGTGTTACGATAGCGTCTGGCGGTTTGCAGGCAGGCAAGGAAAGCTTGTCAGCAGATGAAAAGTGCTGCCTGTGGTGAAATTTAAAGAAGTGATTTGCCTTTTGCGTTTTCAGTGCAATGGTGCTCTTACAGTATTTGCTGTGTAGTTGAATATAAGGAAATCCCTATTTAGCAGAGCATTTAGGGACCGTCCAGCGAGTGTTTTTTCATTTAATAGTGACACAGCAAAACCAACAGATCATGACCAGTGTGGAAAACATATAGTATAACTTGCTTATAATACCATGCTATAGTTTTCATATATTAGGCCATATTAATGTGAAATATTACTTTGGAGTAGTGTATGAGTGAAAGCACACACGTGCATATACATACTGTATGAGCCTGGTGTTTTATTTGGCTACGTCTTGTGTTGCTGCTCCACTGCAGACTGGCTGAAACCCTCAGAAATGGACTCCATTAAAGATTTATTGTGGCATGTGCTGGACAGTGATCTAGCCATGTTTTAACACAGTGTTATCAGTGTTTATATAGAACTTATTAACTTTATATTTCCATTCGGGTAGAGATTGATAGGTATATGCTCAGGTTAAATTTTATTCATTGTTCTTCTTTAAAACCTGTCGACAGACAGGAGATTGACATCGTTATTCAACTAATCAAGTCAGAGTTAAATAAAAATCAAAAGGACTGGAGGGTTTATACACCAGATTCATGGGAGCCATTTAGAGAATAAAAGATCCTGCTCTTAAATAGGCATGGTCATTAAAATTCTTTATCTGCTAAGCGGTCGTTTAGACCCCCAAAAGTTCCCATCCCCCACCAGCCAAAAGGCCATATACAAACAGTGTGGTACTATGGAGTGATGTACTGGAGGGATGTGAAAGACACAGGATTTCTATGCAACCGTATCTGCTATAATAGGCATGGGCTGAGGGATTTACTGTGCCTTCTCTTTAATAAACGTGACCAAACGCAGTGCATGCCAATGCGCCTCGAGGACGCTCACACACAGACTCGCACAAACTTGAAGGAAAACACATAAAACAAAGAAACAAATACACAAACGCTCACAAGAACCAAAAAAACGTGCATTAATGTGCAGGTATCTGCGAGTTCAGACACAGGCACTGCACAAACACAGACTCATGGACATGAACTAGCTCACACACCAGTTTCTCTGCTCAGTTTAATCTCCTTTACATTTTCTTCTCAACGTTAAGGTGACTAGTTTCATTTTGATGTTATATGTTTGAGGATTTACAAAACACACTCACTCCAAGGTACTGTATGCCATGTTGGAGGAAAAACACTTCATTTCAAAATCATCTACAGTGTCAGAAACTCTAACACACACCAAACATTAAACAGTAAAAATCCTCCAGACCCAAACTAACCCAGGCAAATCCATACTGCAATGCCTATATGCAATAATAACAACTCTCTAATTGATCTAACTGATGACTCAAGTTAAATTTCTTGGTGATGACCCAAAATAAATCGTGACTGGACAAATGTAGGACAACAAAATTTTAAAAAAAAGCTTCTGGCTACATTACTCAGAATAGTATAAACAGAAAAAGGTGGATCCAGTGTCTTATAATGTATAATGTATAACGTATAATGGAATAAAGGCTAACAAACTCTTTAACTAATCAGCTGCAAGAACTCACAAACGGCCAGCTGCTATATGTTTTCTACAACAACTGATGCCTATTTAAAGCCATGAACTTTAAGTATTCCTCTGCTGAGACCTCAGTGTCTTACATTCTACCAAGCAGGCATAACTTGAATGTTGCTAAGCAGTGACTTCAAAATCTGATTTGCCGGCAGCTGATCCAGATGTTGACCAAGCAGTAAGATCAGCCAAGGACCCTGCAGCTCCGAAATATCTCCCGATATCTGCACATCTAGTTAACTCAGAAATGCTGTAAACTACTTTCCATAAACAAAACATACAAAGAGATAGTATAAAAAGAAAAATATCCCAGCTCTGACCTTCCAGTTCTTTCAACAATGTGCCTTCCAAAACACCTTCATGCAGCTTGTATGGATGCCACATTTATGGGGTTGTGCACACTTTTTCAAATAATGGTGGAAGTGTGCCATATTCTGCTGTTACCTCGAGCCAGAAGCCATTATGAGAACCAGCACCCAGCGAGCTCTTTGGTTTCCATTGCTTTCATGAGAGATTTTAGTCAGCACAGCAGAGAGGCTCCTGAAACGCTGCTCAGGCTGCGATAAATAAGTTTACTTCACTGAAAATACTGGAACTGGAGGAAGGATCACTACAGCGCTACATATGGGCACACAGCCCTGCTCCAAAATGTGGGAGTCAGTCTAGGGTTGCTTCACAGAACAAACATCATTTTTTAACAAATGAATAGCTTAGGCTCGGAGCTGCCAGAATAATACTTTTTAAGAGTCAGGATGACAAAACCTCTTCGGTCTTTTTTCTCTGTTACTTGGCATTTTGGAATAAAACGGGTCAAATACGACAATACAGGAAGATAAAGGCAGACTTTAACAAGTTAAGAAGAATGTCTGCGGTTGAAAATGGGTCGCAGTAGACAGAAGACATGCAGACATGTCTGCACCATCCACCTTCGGCAAGCCCTGCCAGATAGCGCCTGGGAGAACCATTTCCCCCACTGTCTCAGCTGAGGCCTCAAAAATGTGAGAAAATGCTTCTGGGTAATTTGGCCTCTACCATGATTATGGGGTTTTTGATATTTTGATATTCTACCCTAAATCCTCTTTCTTGCCTTGTCCTGTCAAAATATTTTGGAATTGTTGTCAGGGCTCTAAATATGGACTCGTTGTGAAACGTACAAAAAGGGATCGAATCTTAATTAGTATGTTCGCTTTTTGGGCAACTCTGTCCTTGTGGCATAGACCTCGTAACGGCACATGAAGCAAGAAAATCTTAACAAAACCTACAAAAAAAATAACAAACCTTTGCTACTTATACTATTATCTGAAAATGTAATTCTGTTGAATAGTTGTTGATTAATATACTGTTATAATGAAACAGTTACTCAGAATGTGACCATCTCTCCCACCAATATGCAAATTATTCCAAGATTAAATAATGAATACAACAAAGCCTCCTTAGTTATGGCAAACATATGTATCATGTTTAAAAAAGAAGATGGTCCTTGCAGCGCTATCCCTTTTCTCACTAAAGCCTTGCATAGTCAAAAAATACACAGCACTATGAAGGGTCACATGATCAGTGGAGGAATGAAACCGAACCGCCCTCAGACCATGACGGCTGCGCCAGAGCAGCTCAAGGAAACATATACTTAACTGGGATAGCATGTGATTTGGCTGCGACGGGGATATGCATGTACTCCCTTAACTGCACATTAACTGGCCTCTATGCAATAACAACTTAACCTTTTATCTGGTTATAACAAGCTCCATCGCTGTGTCTAAATAAACAGAGGATGCTATTCAGTCAGACTCGTTGAAAAGACTATTTAGCAAGCTAAAAACTCCCGAATGTTTAGGTCATTGTGCCACACAAAAAGAGGGCTCTGCACACTATGAGGTTAAAACGCTGTTTGTTGAGAGTGCTGCTAGTTTATGAAAATATTCTTTTTCAGTTGATTCTGCAGGCTGATTACAAAACATGTTTCTACAGAGGATTTAGTGAAATTCAACACAGACTGGCCTCACAGCTCCAGACTTCACTGTGACTGTACCTGAGTCGGTGGCTGTGATCAGCAGGATGTATTTCCCCTGAGCCTCGCGGTCCAGAGTCTGGGTCAGGCTCAGCTGACCACTGGACGACAGACTGAACACGGCCTCGTCGTTCCCACTGGTGAGCATGTAGCTCAGCTGACTGTTGGTACCTTGGTCGTCATCTCTGGCAACAACCTGGAAGAAAAAACACAGAAATGGGCCTTTATGGAGACTTTTTGACTGTTTTCTATTGCACAAAAAACATTTCCAGTTCCAGGTGCAGAACAACAGCTGTATGCACAAACAGAAGAAATGTAAAGGTAGCCAGAGTTAAAATAGCAGAGCATTTAATGACATTTAAAATTTGAATCTCTAAATAACCAAGTATCCAACAAAAGTATTAGACACAAATAGAATAATGTATCCTTCTGTAACATTTAGTAGAGGTATTGAGTGAATGTACTAAAAGCAAGACAATATAATTTTTGAAACATTCTTACAAATAAAAATTTGAATCCACAAGCAATGAAACGCTACTTGTCTTACATTTATATTGAATCAATGCGCTTAGTTACTTTCCATCACTGGAGCTACACCTGTGTTCTTAGGCTAAATAGATCAACCTGACACTGACATTTCAGTGTATTGATAAATGGATTAGCTGACATTAGCTGGATTGCAGTATCTTTAAATTCCAGGATGTTTTTAGTTGAGCATTCTTGCAATGAACATATTGCTCAACTCACACAGCTGCTACATCTTTCCACTGAAGACGCTAAGGGTTAATCACTATCACGGTGCTCTACAACAATCACTGAGGGAACGAAGGTCAATACTGATTCACTTTGTCTAATCAGACTTTCTCAGGGAATTACACAAAAATAAAAAACTCAAAGTAATAAATGCATCTTCCACCCTGCTGTGGAGATAAAGGGCCAACATTCATTCAGTGGTTTCTAAGCGTTAAAGTAGCAGCCATCTGATTTTCCCCTCATGCCTCAGCACTAAACTACTCACTGGTTTGCCCAAATGCATTGTGGGCATCCCAGGCCTTCCTTTCATGCATGCGGCTTTGCCATGTTAGCCTACAGGTCTGTGCTAAAAACCCACCATGCCTGGACACTTTCCTATCGCACAGCTGGACTCTCATTTCCTCAGAACGTACACAAGTGAAAGGCAATAGAGTTTCTCCATCATTGGAAATCAGTGCTTCCACTCCATTTTTTATATATGGCTCATTTAGTCATCAAGGTGGTCAGAACGTTAATTGGCTCGTCATGCAATTTAGCCCAGTTTCATATTTTGGTGAAACCCTATAAAACCCTAATTATGCAGAGCAAATTGCAGTCATATATCATTTCTTTATCATTTCAGTCAGGTACTGTATTTGTCATGGCATTTAGTAGAATAAGCCCACCAGGCTTAGTGGCTTAGTTCACTGTAAGCACTCACATACCTACCCTAATTAAGTTAGTGTTATAAGAAATTTGGTTAAAGCATTAGCTTGTTTAAGGTCTTGGACTCTCATTCTTCTTTTCACTCCGGAGGTCCTGCCTGCGAATGTTAATGACGTTCTACCTGCTTAAATTTCAGTGAATGTCCCCACAAAATATATAAGTTCCACATACTGACCTGCAGAATGCTTTTTGGTAGGTTCTCCAGGTTCTCCTGAACATTGACAGTGTAAGGAGAGAGCTCAAATACAGGTGAGCAGTCATTGAAGTCCAGCAACACAATATTGACTGTTGCACGGTCCACCCTGGGGCTGCTGCCACGGTCGGCGGCTTGTACCACCAGTGAATAGGATGAACGCGCCTCACGGTCCAGCTGCTTGGCCACTGAAATCATCCCTGTGACCGAATCAATCCTGAAATCAGAGTTAGTGTTGCCTCCTGAGATAGAAAATCGGATCTGTCCGTTGGTACCCTCGTCAGCATCACTGGCAAACACCTGGATGACATCAGTCCCCGTCAAGGTGTTCTCCTCGATCTCGATGTCGTAGATGTTCTGGGAGAAGCTTGGTGTGTTGTCGTTGACGTCCAGTACCATCATGGTCACATCCATGGTTGAAGACAGAGGTGGTTCTCCTTTGTCTGTAGCCACAACTGTGAGTGTATAGTTGGACAGCTCCTCTCGGTCGAGTTCCCCGACCAACGTGACGTCTCCATCAATTGTACCAATGCTGAACTTATTACCATAAGGTCCTCTGAGGGAGTACTCAACGTAACTGTTGGGGCCGCTGTCAGCGTCTGTGGCCTGGGCAGTAAACACCACCGTGTCCACTGGCGTGTTCTCCTGGATGTAAGTCATCCTCTGGGAGGTGAAGGTCGGCGCGCAGTCGTTGACATCCAGGAGAATAATTGACACCTGGGCAGTGCTGGTGAAGCGGGGCATGGGAGGTGGAGCCAGGTCGTTGACGGTGATCACCAGGTTGTAGAAGGACTGGGTTTCTCTGTCCAGGGCGTTCTTGGTTTGGAGGTCTCCTTCCTTGGTGATGACAAAGTGGCCCTGGGGATCACCTGATGCAATTTTGTAGAGGAGCTGAGCATTTGGGCCTGGAAAACACAACACATACACACAACAGTTGACACACACACACTATAATAAGACTATAATAATGGTAAGTGAATCATTTATGTTTTATTTACAGTGATCTGTTAAGACCATACTGGGAAAATGTGTTTAGATACAAATTCCAGTGAAAAATTAGTGAAAATTTTTATCAAATTCTATCAACTAATCTGATCCTTTCTTAAATTATCTAACAGTAGTTTTGTCTAGGCGATGCAGCAGAGCAGCGGTTGGCGCTGTCGCCTCACAGCAAGGAGATTTCGGGTCCAAGCCCCGGCCAACCTGGGTCCTTTCTGTGCAGTGTTCTCCGTGTGTCTACGTGGGTTCTCTCCGGGTACTCCGGCTTCCGCCCACAGTCCAAAGACATGGAGCTTAGGTCTAGGACTCTAAATTTCCTGTAGGAGTAAGTGTGGTTGTTTGTCTACATGTCAGCCCTGTGATAGACTGGTGACCTGTCCAGGGTGGACCCTGCCTCTCACCCAGTGTCAGCTGGGATTGGCTCCAGCCCCCTGTGACCCTATTCAGGAATAAGTGGTATAGATGATGGATGGATGGATGGGACGCTTGAACACAGTGGACCCATTGTTAATATTGCTGTTAAATAAATAAATAGATATATAGATAGATAAATAAAGGGGCTTCAAACAAAACACTCAACACCAACAAGACAGACAAAAGATTGATATTTTATATAAAGCTTGTGTTTTGTTCTCAGGCCGGAATTTGTTACTCTACTTGAGTTAATAATTAAAAAAGCTTGGTACCAAAGTTTAATTTGGGCAAATAGAAAGAATCAGTGACCTTGACTTAAAAAAACACAAACAGATAAAACAATACAATACAGCCAAGGTCAAATATTAATATTTCCGACTGATCCATTGTTCCAGCTGTGATTGTTAAATATGCTGAATGTGTCTGAATTAGGACTTATATGTGTTATCAGCATCCATTTCCACAAATTGTTTGTATGCAACAGCTGGAACTGTGGCTACAACTCTTGTCCCTTGTGTGGACAATTAATTCATGTTGTATGACAGATTGCTATCAAAAGAGCAACACCACTGCAAACCACTTCCTAAACTGATAGTGCACAGAGGCGCCCTTTTGGAAAATCCCTCACAAATGAGCCATTTATTTAAATGACATAACCACAATGTGACCAATCTCTCTAGCCTTGAAATCTAGCCTAATCTGCAGGACTCCACCGGAGCTGGGGGTTAAAACGAGCTTAAACTGAGTGCCTGTAATTCAACTCAGCAGAGTATTCACGTGGAAAGTGCTGAGACCTTCCCACACTCCAGCGTTTATTTACAGTACATAAGTAATCCCTTATCAAAAACCTGAGTGCTACTTCCACCCACGTTTAGGCTACGGTGTCTAGTGACCGCGGGGGGTCAGGGCTGAGGAAGTGCTAACAATGGTGGTGTTTTATTTTTACAGGGGAAAAACGACAACTATATATCTGAGGGGACGACATGGTCAGATTATGTGATAGTGGAGGAAGAAGCCAAACTCGGGTTGAGAACGAGGCAGTGCATTTCCCAGGAATGTAGGTCACTACGACCACATTAGGCCTTTGTGAAGCAGTAACTGCAATCCACCTAATCATATGGTGAGGATGTCTTAGTTCACCAAATAAGGTTTGAGAGCCAACTCTGTGTAGCCAACTCTCATATCAAACGAACAGGTTTACATCAAATGAATCTTGGCAACTCAATTGATTTATACACTATCAAAGTACATTACTGCTTAAAACAAATTCACAGAACTGCTCTCTTCAAATATATAGACATCTCTAGGATTTAACTTGGTTTAACTACAGTTTATAATATTTGTCTCCTGACTTCTTTGCATTAATACAGCTTATCTGGATTTAACAGTTTTGCAGAATGTTTCTAAATAAAGTATACTGTTAAAAATAAGTCGAGAGTCATCTGTAATCTGGTACTGAGTCAAATTAGTGCTGTACTTTGTTTCTGATTTTGTTTAATGGATGAAATTAAATGAATGACAATCTCAGATTGCCACCTAACCATTCAATTTAATAATTTAAATAAATATGAACAATAAAATAATAATAAAACTTCAAACTGTGACTTTCCTGATAAAATTTAACTATTGTGCAAAGGATAAAAAGACAAGGTTTTAGTGTCCCCTGCCAAAATATTTATGTTAGAAGCAAATATTGTCCATTTCATCATTAATAGATTTTTAACTCTACAATATTAACATTGACATTAGCCTAAAAATCTGGTAATTTTGGCTCAATTATCCTTTATGTATAGTGATTCCACCTCCTCTCACAAGTACGTACCATCATCAGCATCACTGGCTCCGACAGTGACAATATGGGACCCAGGTGGCAGACTCTCAGAGACAGATGTGCTGTACACGGTGCTGTTAAAAATGGGTGGGTTGTCGTTCACGTCCAGGACGTTGAAATACACTCTGACTGTGCTGGCCTGCCCCCCACCATCCTGAGCTTTTGCTGTCAGAATATAGAACTGCTGAGTCTCGTAGTCCAGTGGACGCGTTACGTTGAAAACCCCTGTCACAGGATTTAGGAGGAATGTCTCATCCTTGTCTTCCTCCAGTGAGTAGGTGACCTCACCATTCACGCCTGAGTCAGAGTCGCTGGCCAGGATCGCCGCCACAATGGAGCCTGTGAGAGGCAGGCGAGAAATTAGATTTCACTGCCATAAACAACAAAATGACTCTAATATATCTGCAGGGGGTTACCGGGGCTGTTTATTAATACCACTGACTGGGTGATGGTTCCACCAGCTGCTAAAATAATTTTTTTGGAATCACTTTTCTTAAATTCATTTTTATTTAAGTGTTTTAGGCATGAAGATACTGCTATAACTGAGCTAAAAGCTACCGATGAGGTCCTTTTATTGGTCCTTTGTTTGATCATAATTTAATTACATCTTCACTGGACATTCTTCTTTGATTTCTTACATGATTACCAACCTTTCTAGTCCTATATTTGTCTCTTTCTTGTTGCTGAAAGTGTGAGGAATGAAGGAGCTCTGCCAAACAGTTGTCAGGACTGTTGTAAATCCTACTGACTGCTGAATGTTTGGTATAAATCAAATATCAGTTACTGTCTCTTTGACCTATTGAACTCTTAATTTGTCCCTTAAGGAAAATGCAGAGAATTTGGGAGAGTTGCAACAGACATAAAAAACTGTTAAAAATGCAAAAAGAAAATGTACTCATATGAGCTGTTATTAATTTGAAGCTCTTAATGTCTTTAACAGAGCTGTTCTAGTCTGAAGGCTTTTGCAGGCGACAAAACATTCCGTCGTATGTCTACAACCTTCCAGTCTTTGTCTGCAATGTGTGGATTTTTGCATTGCACATTTGGATGCTTTACTGAGTGACACCGACATGTTACCTGATGTTGTGTCTTCAGGGATCTCAAATGAGTATGATAGCCGGGAGAACTTGGGCGTGTGGTCATTGACGTCCTTGACGGTGATGTTCAGCCTCATGTCTGACGACTGTTTTCCATCATCTGCACGAACCAGAAGGGAATATTTTGAACGGCGTTCCCGGTCCAGTTTCTTGGTGGCGATCAGATCACCAGATTCGGGGTCAATCCGAAAACTGTCATCAGCCCCACTGATGATGGTGTATGTCACAAGAGCATTGGGGCCCTGAGATGAAGACAGGGAAATACATATAGGTTGTGATAGATGATATGTAGTCTTTTCTTTACTATACAAGTAACCATAGTAACCTGAACTCAAATGATTTTGCACAATTAAATCTACATGTTTATTGCACAAAACCATAAACTTAACATTGAGCAGAAATGTGGAGTCAACGTTTGTGGTGTTTACATGTTCATTGTTTTGAACTGACTGAGCTCAAGTCAGGCAACACAACACAAACCTAATGTTAAGTCAATATTTGTAGAGTAGACTTTCTAGAACATTGTTCCAACTCAGCCTCCCTGGACTGAGAGCCAAAAAAGGGGTCAGTAAGTTTGACTTCACTAGGCTTTGTCTCAAAGGTACTGTACGTCCTCAGGCCACAGAGAGGAAGAGCATCATGACTACAAGTATCAAAGCAACTGTCTGGTAGGAAATCAGATTATTTACCACACGACTCCAGATCAAACTAGTCTAGCATGAATGAAACCCTTCGCTGCAGCTTCTTCACCAAGACCCTGTATAAAAGAAGGAACTGTGGTTTTAAAAACACAAATTAGAACTGAGAAATCAACAGAAGATGAAGAGGAAAGGATAAAAGAATTATACCCAGTCATGCTCATCTGACCTGAATGTCTGAAAATCAGCTCTGCACAAACATATTAGCAAGACACTCTGACATTTCATTGGTGAAGCACAAACTTCAAAGTGAACATTCTATATCAAGGAAATTTTATTGATATTCATCAGTAATCAAATCTTAATATCCTCCATTACACACAGCAAAATATCTCCCATCATATCATGTAATTTATTGTTAAGCCCTAAAGATTTATATTTTTTTCAAATGGACACTATGTCAGTGCAGCAGGATTATTTCAACTTGTATCAACTTATTGAATTTGAAGAAATGATGAGCATCTTGAACAAAAACTCACTAGGGTAAATTTCTGCACGACAAAAAACAATTAATTAAACAAATGTTTTGAAATCCTCTGATAAAAAGAACTGTTCAAACAACATCAGCAGATTGTGTCATTTGATTTAAGAAAAAAGTTTTAGGATTTGATTATTGATGAATATTATTTGATATGACAATATACAGGTGCAGCTCAATAATTAGAATATCGTGGACAAGTCCATTTATTTCAGTAATTCAACTCAAATAGTGAAACTCGTGTATTATATACATTCAGTACACACAGAATGAAGTAGTTTAAGCCATTGGGTCTTTTAATTGTGATGATTTTGGCCCACCTTTAACAAAAACTA